TGGAAGTAGGATTGCCCAACCTTCCTTCCGAGGAGTGGCTGGTGGGTTTGAACCGCCAGCCGTCTGGTTAGCAGGCAAGGGTCTTAGCCACTATGTTAAGGTGTTAACTGCTACTGAGAAAAAATATGGAATGAATTAAAATTTGGGAAGGTTCCATATGAAATATGAAAGTCTCCCTGAGAAGATGATATGTGGGTCAAGACCCAAAAGAAGTGAGGGAGAGAGGTCTGCTCTCTGGCAGAGGAACCTTCTAAGAAGTGGGACTAGCAAGTGCAACAGCTCTGAGATGAGAATATGCCTGTCATTTTCTTCAGGGAAACAGGTAGGAACTATCTAAGCAGAGTTGAAACAAAATAACTGAGGTACTGGTTGTTAGCAGAATTCTTTTCTACCAGAGCTCATCTAATTTTAGAAAGTATAGGATGGTAAAAGGAGCTCTGGTGGTAAGGAATTTGGCTGCTAACCAAAAGGTTGGCAGTTCAAACCCACCAGCAGCTCCACAGAAGAAAGATGAGGTAGTCTGCTTCAGCCTAGGAAACGCTATGGGGAAGTAATGCTCTCTCCTGTTGGGGTTATGAGTCAGAATTGACTTGATGGCAGTGGGTGGTGGTGATGGTGAGGGTGGCTGAGTGTATACTTGGAGAATAGAAGGCAATGAAGTCAGAAAAGTAAGGGGAAGACAGGTTAAATGGGGATTTGTAGGGCATTTTATAGATTTGAATTTGATTGATGGAAAACCACTGAAACATTTAAAGCAGTGAAATGATATGATTTAATATACTGTTTAAACCAAAACAAAGAACAGGCCTAGTGAGTATTGCCAGATAACTAATGTTTACTTGGCCTCTTCAATTAACTATTGTAACTCCATTCATTCTAATCTCATTCTATGTTGTATGGCAGAAATAGTGCAAGAGAGCATTCTTCTCAGGCACAAGAACCTCCACTCAAGTCTTTAAGCATTGTCATGACTAAATAACTATTTTATAAAGTCATCTCAGATTATCTTTTACTTATAAACCAAAACTAAACTCACTGCCATCGAGTCAGATCCGACTCATAGAGTGTTTTTGAAAAGATCACTTAGAAAAATAACTATAACAAATATTTATTGAACAGTTACTATGCACCAGCACTGTGCCCAGCCTTTTAGAAGTACCGTTTCATATAATCCTCTCCAGAACTCTATAAAATAGATACTCTTCCACATTGTATAGATGAGGAAATTTGTGGTTTATGGAAGTTGAACACATTGCCCAAGATCACAAAGCTAAAAGAGGAATCCACAAATTCAGCTCTCTGGAATTTAAGAGGCTCTGCTCTTAACTAAGGAGCTCAGTAGCATAGTGCCTAAGGCAATTGACTGCTAACCAGAAGGCTGGTGGTTCAAACCCACCAGCCACTCCTCAGAAGGAAGGTTGGGCAATCTACTTTTGTAGTGATACTGCCTCGGAAACGCAAGGAGGGGTCACTATGAGTCGGCCCAACTGGATGGCACATAACAACAACAGCAACAAGCTCTTAACTACTGCTGCAACTCAGTAATAAATATTAAAATAGTGACTATGTGGAGCTTTCTCCATTTTGCAAATAATGTTAGCATTTCAAGAGAGGAAAGGATGAAGAAGAGAAGAGATAGAAAGGTAAAATAATGTACCTGTATAACTGGAAGGGGAGCTCTGGTAGCATAGTACCTAAGGCACTTGACTGCTAATCAGAAAGCTGGCGGTTCAAACCCACCAGCCACTCCTCAGAAAGAAGATGGGGCAATCTACTTCATAGTGATACTGCCTTGGAAACCCAAGGAGGGGTTGTTATGAATTGAGTCCAACTTGACTGGCACATAACAACAACAACTACATAACTGGAAGGGAAGACATCTTAGTGATAGCCTTTAGGCTTATTCAGTAGGTCTTTCCAGTCTTGTAGCTCTCTGGCTCTCATTAGAAGTTCTAGGCCAATATAGTCGAGCTTGGTTTTCTCATATTCAGATGTATGTACAGGGTCATGGAATCTCCTGTGGGTGTCTGCTCCTACCTCCTGATCTCCACAGGCACAAGATGTCCTAAATAGTAAACTCACTACCGTCGAGTGGACTCTGACTCAGCATAGCAAGTGATAATTTAAAATGCTTTGACATAATTTCCTATAACATGGTATGTATCTTATTTTTAAATACCTCCTGGCAATTTTCAAAGTATTTTCACATCTATCTTTTGTTATTATAACAAACACATGTAAGAAAACATTTGTTATCTCAGCACTCTTCGCATACACAATTCAATGACATTAATTACGTTCATCACGTAGTTCAACCATCACCATTACCTGTTTCCAAGTTTTTCCTCACCCTTAGCACATCCATCCCATTTGACTCTCAGACCAACCCTTTGTACACAGCACAGATAAGTATTTGTATTATATTAATAAGCAAACTCAGTTGGATCTCACTGAATCCATTTTATGAGTCTCTAAGATGACTGATAAAAATGTTCTTTCTTGCCCCAGCCCCCAGCCAGACCTAACTGTCCAAAACCACCTTTGACTATTGTAACACATGTATTCAACTAAATTAACAGAGAATCTTATCTAACTTCTCAGATGTCTGTCAGGGTCCACGCTGGCATCAATTTGCTCTGAAACTTGGCTGTGCTGGGATCATTCTTTTCACCTTGGCTGTGATAGGGTTGAGTGCTTCAGGTAAGTGATATGAGATCATTCATTTAGAATATTTACTCTACTTCTATCAAAAATAAGGGAGCATCTTAACATAATTTGGTCATCCTAAACTCAGTGAAGAACCAACGAAATAAAACAGGAACAAAACAATGGTTCTACAGCTCAGCCCACATCCACTCTGGAAACTTCTGTTTTCCACATTACCCTTCCCAATTGTTCTCAGGGTCACCGAGTGCTATTTTACATGTCCTCCAATAACTTAAGAAAAAAAGTCACAATAATAACAAAAGGATAACAATAACAATGAAAATAACAATGACTGGGGCTTTGCAGTTTATTAAGTATTTGCTGAACAGATTGCACTAGGCAATCTCTCCATTGGGATAAGCATAACTAAACTCATTCTGAAGATGAGAGAGTTTAATACCCTTAAGTTCACTTATCTAGTACTTAACAAGTAAGAGGGTACCTGTGTGAATCCATTATTGTATGTTTTTTCTTGTTCATGTAGGCTGCCCCCTAGCAAGATCCTTTGTTAGCAAATTACTTTGTTGTTGTTGTTGTTATGTGCCATCAAGTCGGACCCAACTCATAGTGACCCCTCCTTGGTTTTCCAAGGCAGTATCACTACGGAAGTAGATTGCCCAATCTTCCTTCCGAGGAGTGGCTGGTGGGTTTGAACCACAGCTTTCTGGTTAGCAGTCAAGTGCCTTAGGCACTATGCTACCAGAGCTCCTAAACAACCAAACTCACTGCCGTGGAGTCAAATCCGACTCATAGCAACCCCTCCTTGGGTTTCCAAGGCAGTATCACTACGGAGGGAGATTGCCCAACTTTCCTTCCAAGGAGTGGCTTGTGGGTTTGAACCGCCAGCCTTCTGGTTAGCAGTCAAATGCTTTAGGCACTATGCTACCTTTATTTTCTGTCCATATTCAAGCTTGCTGAGATAACTTAGTTTCTTGCTGAAGTTATAAGTGGAGCTACACTTATATTATTTTTTTGGTACTTGATCTATATTCCAGCTTCAGGAAGAATCGTAGAGAAACGATCAATATAATGTTTCCATTCAGTCATACATTTATTCATTTAATCTTCTTAAATGTTTTTTTCTTTATTTACTAGTGATATTTTTAAGTCAAAAATTATCAATAGAAAAAAGTACTATGGATGCTCAAGAAAAGTACAGGAGTACTCAAGAGCGTAGGAATGAAACAACAGGTAATTTTCTGGCATGAAATTCCAAACAATAATAGGTAGTATTTAACAGGTTTCATGTGTTACCTTAATTAAGACTCACAACAATCCCTAAATGTTAAGATATAATTATTGTCATCCTTGTTTTATGTCTTAGAAAAATGAGGCATAGAAAGGTTAAGTAACCCATTTAAGGTTACATAACTAGTGAGTTGTGGCACCAGGAACTGAATTTAGATGAACTGACTCCAGAGCCTGAGTCATACCCCAAGGTATATTGCTTCATGAGAAGATGCTGCTAGAATATTTAATAATTAAGAGTAAAATATCAAGTTAAAAATTATAATATACATGATTTGGTTACCTAGTGCCACTCTAACAGAAGATACCACAAATGGGATGGCTTTAACAAACTGGAGTTTATTCTCTTACAGTTTTGGAGGCTAGAAGTCCAAGTTAAAAGGGCTGGGCTCTAGGGGCTGGGTGAAAGCCCCTCAACCTTGGCTTTAGCTCTGCCTCTTGCTCCTGGCCCACTGAAGCTGAAAATTTTCTTCACTCAGGCAGCTGCTGGCTGTTGAGGCTGACAAACCCAAGGTTGACAAATAAAAAGGCACAGTCCTGATGTTACCAAACCACATGGCAGGCCATTAATTCAAGTCCATTGAAAGTCCCAAGATTGGCAGAGCACGGCAGGTTACTGAATGAAGACTGGCCTACTGGCAGGGTTCAAGCATGCCAAAAAGCTAGAGACCACTCCCAAAGCTGCTGCTTACATATGGGAAGCAGACCACATCCCTAAAGCAGTTACTCAGCTGCTCGTGGCATATTCCACCGTGGAGTTGATTGCCAGTCCATCATGGGGAATAACTACCTCCAGCTGCCCAGCCACTCAACCAAGCCCAACCAAGTTGATAACAACCTTAACTACCACGTATGTTTAAATTGATTATTTGATGATTTTATTAAGCATGTCAAACAGTTAAATTTGGTTGAAAATGAATGAATAGAATTGAAAACAGAAAGAATTCTTTAATATGTATTTCTTTGACATGTATCAATATTACTCTTGCTCTACTGTGTAGAGTGTGTTAACCTGTAAAGGCAACTGTTGTTGAGTGACTGCTACAGAATATGACCTGTGTGTATATTCTTACAGAGTAGATATTTTTTCTGGAAAATGGAATGCAATTGATCACATTAAGTAAGGAACAATATTATTCATCAATTAAAATATTTCTTATGATTTTTCTTATTAATTTTCATTAATTTTGTGAAATGAATTATTATAGGCTTCACACTTTGCACATTGTTTAACATAAATATTTGTTAGATGAATTTGATATTGTTGCCCGTGAAGTGAAATAAACACTGGTGATAGACTCAAGGGAATGCAGAAATAGTCTTCACTCTACCATCATCTGATTGCGTTATTCTGTCTCTCAGTGTCTGAAAATGTAAACTGTGGCTGATTACATTATTTTGAAGATTTTTTTTTCTTCTCTAATATTCTATGATTCAATTTATGCTTATAACTGATCATTATTTTCCGATCTCTGGTACCAGAAGGAACAGTAGATCTCAAAAACTTCAAAATTTTAAGTAATTCATTATCAGTTTTCACAGTGATGATCAATGACTTTTGAGCACGTGTGTGTGTGTGTGGACTGGGGGACAGGTTGAAATGAAAATATTTCTTTAATTCTTTTTTTCTTTCTTACTGTAGAGATAACAAGTCCTTTAAAGTGCCCGATACATTGGCATCTACTCCGAGAGAAATGCTTGTTTCTTTCTCATACTTTTTACTCCTGGAAGGACAGCTTAGCTGACTGTTACACAAAAAAGTCTAGTTTGCTACTTATTCAAGATGTGGAAGAACTGGTAAATAATAAAAGACCTTAATAAAAGTTAACACTTTCTTTAAACAATGTCAAGGTGCTTGGACTTGAGTTGAAAAGTTTACGCAGATGGAAATAGAGAACTTGACTTTAAGCAGCTCATAGTCTGATAGATTAAACAGACATATAAGAAAATAATTGAACATTGAACATGATATGATGAGTGCGATAATATAAATAGAGAAATAGCACACACACAAGAAAAAGAATGATTAACTCATGTGGAGTAAGGAAAGACTTTATAGATGGAGCGATGCCTGAGCTGGGTCTTAGGGGATCAATAGAACAAGGCAGCTTATTGAATAGATAAACCAGGTAATATATGGTCATTTCTTCTGTTCCATTTACAGAGACTCATACAGAGCCTGATAAAGACGGGAGGAATTCTATATTGGATTGGATTAAATTTTACATTATCAGAGAAGAGCTGGAAGTGGATAAATGGCTCTTTTTTATATTCTGATGTGTGAGTATTCAAAAAAAAAAAACCCTAAACTCACTGCCATCAAGTCGATCCAACTCATAGTAACCCGCATTGGGTTTCCAAGGCGGTAAATCTTTACAGAAGTTGTTGTGTTGTTGTTATGTGCCGTCAAGTCGGATCCGACTCATAGCGACCCCTCCTTGGGTTTCCAAGGCAGTATCACTACAGAAGTAGATTTCCCAACCTTCCTTCCGAGGAGTGGCTGGTGGGTTTGAACCACCAGACTTCTGGTTAGCAGTCAAGTACCTTAGGCACTATGCTACCAGAGAGATCACCCCATTTTCCTTCTATGGAGCAGCTGGTGGGTTTCAACCACCAACATTCTGGTTAGCAGCCAAATGCCTTATCCCAGAGAGCTAGTAGCATGTGAGTATTAGATGAGCTAATTTTAATGTTCTATTCATATCAGGTTTACATTGCAAGGTATTAATGTTGTTGAATACTGAGTTTTCTACTTTTGATTTAGTTTAGTTTTCCATCGATTCAGAATAAGCAGAGAAGATGGATGATTACAAAGTTGGTTGAAAATTTCATTTATGAAAAGATAGCAGCAGTTTATAAAACTATATATTTTTGCCAGAAATTGAGTTTCAGAAGACAAGGAATAGACTAGTTTCTTTGGTGGGTGTGGTAGTTAAGGCTTTGTGTCAACTTGTCTGGGCCTGCTTGAGTGGCTGGGCAGCTGGATGTAGTTACTCCCCATGATGAGAATGGTAATCAGCTCCGTGGTGGAATCTACCGGAGCAGATGAATAGCTGCCTTAGAGATGTGGTCTGCTTCCAGTGTATAGGAAGAAGCTTTGAGAAAGGGCTCTGCAGCTTTTGGTATGCTCGAATCTTGCATGTAGTCGAGTTGTCGTTCAGCAGCCTGCCATGTTGTCTGCTGATTTGGGACTGCTGATGGACTTGAATTAGTGGCCTGCCATGTAGTTTGATAATTTGGGGACTATGCCTTTTTACTTGTCAAACTTGGTTTTGTCAGCCTCAGCAGTCAGCAGCTGCCTGAGTGAAGAGATGCCTCCAGCTCTAGTGGGCTGGGGGCAAGAGGCTGAGCTGGAGCCCAAGATCGAGGGGCAAGCCCTAGAGCTAGCCCTTTGGGTTCGGAGTTCAAGTCTCCTAAACAGTAAGAGAATAAACTCCTGTTTATTAACACCATCCACCCAACTGTGATATTTCTGCTAGAGTGGCACAAGATGACCAAAACAGTAGGGTATACCAATAAAAATTTTTGAGCTGGAATCTGTTGACACACAGAATTTCCCAGTTTATTTAACTGTTGGACAAAATATCTTAGTGAGTCATGCAACTGATTTGGTGTATTATTACTAACATTAAAACAATGAATATAAAAAGAAAAAAAAATAGTAATCTTCATAATAACAACATACTAAGGAAGAACTATGTATGTTATAAATATTTCAGTATATTTTAACCAACGGTGTGAACTCAAATCCATTAGATCACATCAATTCCAACTCATAGTGGCCCTATAGACAGAGAGTAGAATTGCTACATAGGGTTTCCAAGTGTAAATCTTTATGGAAGCAGACTGCCATCTTTATATGGAGTAGCTGGTGGGTTCCAATTGTGACCTTTTGGTTAGCAGTCGAGTGCTTCACCTCTGCACCATTAGGGCTTCTCATGGTGTGAAAGAGACAGTTTTTTTTAAGGGATGTGATGAATACACACATGAGCCACAAAGGAACCACTTGCTATTTCCTCTCTAGTATTTCACATTAATTTTTTCTGTAAGATGGTCATAATAACCATCAGTGTAATAGGAAAATTGATCCTACACTGTCAGATGACTTATTTTAACGGAATTCTTAGTTAATTGCCATAACAAAGGGCAGTGTAACATGTTTGCCCTGCAAATAAAGTGTGCAGTCATTTAAACAACTTTCTGTAAAGAACTTTCAACATGTTTTTATAAGAGATGAAACCCAGTGTGACATTTGAGTCTACAAATGATTATAACATTTAATCAAACTTACACAAATTGCATTTAAAGTGATATTCTTGAAGCTAGGTTATGGGAACATAGGGTTCATTATACTAGTCTTTGTTTTAGTTTGAAATATTTTATAATAAGTACATAAACCAATATCTTTAATAATTAGAAAAACAAGAAGTTGAAATTTAAAACAGAGGAGGATGGTCAAGCTCATCTAAAGTATGATGATAATTTGTCAATTATTGAAAAATATTAAGCATTAAATGAAATGCTGGCTCATTTAATATACTTTGAGCTACATTCTAAAATATTTTTAAAAGTGGAATACTTAAAAACGGAGATTTAAAATATGTTGTGGACTATAATGAATTTATAAAAATGCAAGCACACCAATTCCATTAAATAAAATTGTTCCTGATTTCTTTTCTTATAATGTTTCTGGGGATTATTTTCTACATATATTATTTTAATTACATATAAATTTATATGAATTTCGTTTTATTTTGTATATGTAATAAGGATTAATTTTGATTTATGAAATTTATTATGTGTGTGTGTGTTTTTTGTGCAATAATGTAATTTTTTATTGTGGTTCTTAATTTAAAAAACATTAATTTAAATATCTATAAGTAGATATATATGCAAACTGAATATATTAAATTCAGTGGAACATCCCATTTTATTTTATTTTGAGGATAAAAGCAATGTTTTGTTTTAAACCATTCCAGTTGCTGTCAACTTGACTCTGTAAACCTGGAAGGTATCTTGTTAGAGTATGTATCTTGAGTTACTACCTTTCTAAAGGGTGTGACTCAAGTCACTACCTTTACTTTCCTTGAGGGGATGGTCTGCATCCAACATACATGAATGCTCTGGCAAAGTTCTTCCTTTTGCTCTGGATCCTACATTTGGTTTATCATCATCTGGCCTCCAGTTCTTGGAATTTGAGGCAGTAGCCTATTGTCTGATCTGATTCACCAGCTCCAACAGCCTTGTGAGATAGCAGTCTGTTTTCTGACCTGCCAATTTGAGTTTGTGGATCCCTGCAACCATGTGACAGAGGAGAATCCTCCTAACTGATGCCTGACCCACTGATTTGGGACTTGCCAGCATCCACAAACTGTAGGAGCCATTTCCTTGGTGGTTCATGAGTTCTGTGAGACATTACAGTGGTTATGGAACCCAAAGATGAGAGAGAGAGTACTAAAGGGAGAAGACAAGTTGATGGTTGAGATGATGGTGTGGTACAGCAGTTTGGAAAAGTTAGACATTTGGGACATCCTTAACTTCCATCTCATAGGGACTAGCTTTGTGCTGATCCTTCTAGAAGACAGTATTCCAAGAGTGGAAAGAGCATCATTTTTAGACTCTGCTTTTATTTTAACTCTCTGGTTTTCAGATAAATAAAAAAGAATTTTTAAAGATAATATTTCTTTCCTGATTTTTTTTTCCTTTTTTGGAGGCTACAGGAGATAAAGTCATAGGGCTAGACAGATATCTGGTCATGAAAGAACTGAGAAGCCATTGAGGAATATTTGAAAACAAGTTAAGTCATTCATCCAGATTAGAATTTTAAAAATTATCCTGAAAATTAAAGGAAAAATCAGAATGGTGGAAAAGATACAGGATAAGGGACTTTTACAGTAGTCCACTTGAGAGAAGTTGATGGTTAAATAGAAATGTGGCATTAGAAATAAATAATATTAGCTTCAGGGGCCAAACAGTCTGCATGAAGAAATGGAAGCAAAGAGTAAAGGAATCTGTGAAGGAGCCCTGCCTATTGCCACCCACTCATCCTCTGTTTGAGACAAATAAATGAGTCTTGAACTCACCCCATCCTTGCAACCAAGCCCTAATACTGCCCATTCAATCATTTGAATCTATCGCCGTCCACCTGTAGTGAGTCACATGATTTATGCTTGTTTGGAACTAATAATATATTGAAACTGATACCTGTCAACCTGTGTTTAAATGAGGACAAATGGAAACTGACAACATATCACATGAACTTAGACTCTTTCCCTAGCTGCAACCAAATACTGGAGAGCCTGTATGGCCACTACCTTCTAAATATATTCACTTACATATACTGAGTACATGCTTGTCTTAAGCATTGTCACACTTTCTTATCACCATCTCCACACTCCCTCAAATGTTAAGTTGCTATTTCCTTGTATATTTTTTAAGAAATGAGGTTCAATGAAGTTAAGAAACTTTGCATATGACATAATTATAGTAGAACAGAAGATTCAAGTCTCAGTCTCCAAAAATTTCTCTATTTTTTTGTATCATTATGAATTTTCTTTTTTGGTTGTTGGACAAATTGGTTTTTTTAATATTTTCTAAATTATTAAACTTTTTAAAGTTATAGTCTGGGCTAAGAAATTAAACCTGGTCATTTTTTTGCATTAATGGTTTAAAGAGGTGCTTGTTTATTATTTTTTTAATTTGTTTTGGTTTAATTTTTAATTGTGATTTGGGTGAAAGTTTACAGAGTGAATTCATTTTCCATGCAGCAGTTCATACACATTTTGTCTCATGACATTGACTGCGATGCCCCACAATATAACAGCTCTCTTCCCACTTCCTTCCTGTAGTTACCTCTTCCCTGTGTCCTTCCCTTCCATACACTGCCCTCCCAGCCCCAGCTATCTCCCTGTGCAAACATTGCCCTTCTGTTCTCCCATGATTGATAGCTCCAAGTTGTGTGTCTGCCTAATGTAAATGTTCACCCCATATGCCTGTCTATTGTTTGCTTTATTCAGACCAGCAAAACTGGTCTTTTCTTTTTTTATGATTTTGAGTTTTGTTCCACATTGTTCTACCACTCTATCCAGGATATTCTGCACTGATCCCCCTCCAAGTGGTTGATAGTGGTAGCTGGGCACCATCTGGCTCTTCTGGTCTCATGGTCTTATAGGCTGAGTCCTTGGACTAATTGTCATTGGACCAATTATTTCCAAGCATCTTTGGTTTCCTTATTCTTCTATGCTCTGGACATTGCATATAGATTCATTATGAGTTTTCTTGTTAGCAGGATTCTTTTCCACTCAATGAACCTGTAACTTCTAGAGATTTACAGTAGCCTTATCATCATTGTTTATGCTATTATATTTGTGGCTGTGTGCTTACTCTCATTTTCATCCTTTAGCATTCCATTGTTTACTGAAAGTCCTAGGAAATACTGGGGTGAATGAACAGAATTATTTAGGAAAATCCTAAACACTTAGAGATTTTTTCTTTTGTTCCACAGATTAAAAATTGATGGAGATGATGATGAAAACAGCTGTGCTTACATCTCAAATGAAAAAATTTTCTCTGAAGACTGTCATTCAGACAATAAATGGATCTGCCAGAAAGAATTAAATCCTGTCAGTGTGTCCTGACACTTGGCTGTGTTCATAAATCCCATCTGAACTTCTTTACATTTTCCATTACAGATCTCTGAACTTTTAACTTCATATATTACTGATACTGCATAATCTGTGTTTAGTGATACAATACATACCTAGAATTCTAAAACTGTTGCAGATCTTACAGATGTTCACATTCACTGTAGTCATTCTAAAAAAAAAGGAAATTAAGACATAGGGAATATATTTCTCATTTTAAGAGATGGTGATATTTGATGGAAAGAAGTTCAGACCAATTGAGGGGAATTGGATTTTTATCCTGGCTTATATGTGTAACTATCATTGACCATCTATGCCTTAGCTCATTTTGAGAAAAGCCATAGTAAATTATTTCTAAAGTCCTGTACATCTCTTATAGTCTATGAGACTGTTATATAACTGAGTAGTGGCTGAACTCATTTTCTTGACTCTCACAGCAGAGAGTTGATAACAAAAGAAGTTTGGAAAGGTACCTTAACTCTTCCCACTGTACCAAAGCTCTTACTAATTTTCTCATTGCTTCTTTTTCTTCCTTGTCTCCTCTTTTTCTATGGCTCACACACAAGAAGTCGGTGATATGTAATCAAATCTTTCATTATCCTGATACAAAATAAATGATAGCTTTTCAACTCTGCAGTTAGAGAGACTGACATTCAAAAAAAGTTTATTCTGAAATCAATCTCTTAAATACATGTTTAAAAAAAATGCCATGGATCAACTTGGAGGACATTATGCTGAGCAAAATAAGTCAGTCACAAAAGGACAAATATTGTATTAGTCCGTTATTGTAAAAGTTAAGGAAAGG